CAATGATTCTGAAAGCTCCAGCAGCTACATGAGGAATGCTGGCTTCTAATTCAGGCACTTAAGTGGTGCTCTCATTGGACTGTGTAGATACATGCTATTTTGTTTTTCTGCAGCTGTATTAGTATTGCTTTTAAGTACAGAAATTTATAATTTCACCATCTGGTTTCAGTGTATTTAATATTTTATAGCTCAGGGTTGGTATGAAGTACTGTCAGCTGTTACTTACTCTGGTACTTTTCACCAAACAACCAAAATACAAGAAGATAGTGACCCATAGTAGAACTCGACTTCGTTTTCTGAAAGGAGTACTGATAGCCTTCCTTGATTCCCTGAATACCAGGGCAACAAAATGTGAAAAAAAAAATAGATATCTATGTAACTAGGTATTTATGTGTTTGTGGGGCACTACACTATACACTGAATACAGCTAACTTCAAAAACCATGCATGCAAACTACAGAAGGCAATTTTACTGGTAAAAGAAAAAAAAATTAGAACTTTTCAAAGAGAGACTAGCAACATAAGTAGAAGTATTAAAAAGTATATGTTCCACTCTGCTTTTATTCCGATTTCTGGAACTCTGAGAATTGTGGCATCTTCAAATCGTCTTTGAGGAGCAATAAACACTCAGAAAAACAGCAGAACTACTTTCTGTGCCTCTAAAAAGGTATCATACATAGCTTACATAATGCAATTATTATCCACTCCTAAGGATAAAAAAAATGTACCTTATAGGCACAGCTCGAGCACCAGCAGATTCCACAAATTTCACATATGAAGCTGCAATATAAGATCTTCCAAATCGCTCGTACGCATCAAAGTGACACTCCTGTGACAATATCCCTGAAGGCCCCAAGGAAGAAAATTAGCACCACACAAATGGCAAATGCTACACACTGAAAGAAAAGTCACAAAATCACTGAATCAATTCGCTTGGAAAAGACCTCTGAGATCATCAAATCCAACCTACAAATAAACACCGCCATGTCAACCAGACCATGAAACAAGTACCATGTCCAGTTTTTCCTTAAAAGCCTCCAAGGACAGTGACTCCACCACCTCCCAGGACAGTCCATTACAGTATCTATTCACCCTTCTGCGAGGAAATTCTTCCTAATGTCTAACCTAAACCTCCCCTAGGTAGCTCAAAACTTTCCCCTTGTCCTATTGCTAGTTACCGAGAAGAGCCCGACCCCCACCTGGCTCCAGCCTCCTCTGAGGCAATGGTAAAGACCGAGAAGGTCACACCGGAGCCTGGTCTTCTCCGGCTCAAACCTCCCCAGGTTCCTCAGCCGCTCCTCCCAAGACCCTATTAATTAATTAATTAATAATTAATTGCTCCTATTAATTAAGCTCCCATCTCCTATATGCCAGCTAGCAAGATACATTTACTGCCCACAGGAACTGCAGGCACCGAGACAACCAACGGGGCATCAATTCCGGCGCCCGGTCACAAGGTACCACACAAACACACATTACCTGACTAAGACTCGGCTTCCCTGCCATGACTGCCCAGCACTGTAACTTCTCTCAAGCAAGCCCGACTCGCAGAGAAAGCCCGTACAGCATAACGCTGCTCACACCAGCTCTAGCCAAACCCCGGCTCCGGGAGACGCTTTCCTTACGGCCCCTCGGCCCTTACCGATGATGGGTCTGTCATTGCGCCCCGCCGGCCGGCCGCGCCGCGCCAGGGAGGCGGCGGAGCCGCCGCGCAGCAGCGCCAGGAGCAGCGCGGCGGCCGCCACGCCACCGAGCCCGGCCAGGCGCCCCATGGCACCGCCGGGAACGACCAACGGCTGCGGGCACGGCTCCCGGCACGGCTGGGCTCGGAGCACGGCTCGCCTCGCCTCGCCTCCGGGCACGGCTGCCGGCCGGGCTGGGCTGGGCTGGGCTGGGCGCCCGCAGTGCGGCACGCAGCTGCCGGCCCGCCCGCAGCGCGGCTCGCTGGGAAATGCAGTCCCGGCCCGCTGCCGGCAGCCCCCGCGGCCGCCTCCTTCTCTTCGCGCTCGAACCCGTGACAGACGAGGCTGGTTCAACCAGAAAGGGTTTATTAATTAAAATATATGTTAATACATTTAAAAAGAGGAAAAAAATTGTTCATTACATCGTGCTGGCAGTCAGTAGTAAATTTGTACCGTTTAACAGGAACTTTATTTTTTTTAGAGGCACTCCTGCTGTTTACAAAGAATAAAGCATTTAGGGACTTTTGTTTTGTTGGCTGCTGCTCAAAGCTGCGACACCACCGCACATCATACCAATATCTTCACTATTCATTATGTAAATGTTCAAATTATATTGTGTCCTTATTATTAACAGCAATGGCAATTAAAGAGTTCCCACCTCCTATATAATATGTAAACATTAAAAATAATTAACAGTTCAGGAAAAAATAACTGTGCTCAGTGCTCTAACTGCTGAGTTATGCAAACACACTACCACTTAATAACAGGATCAGGGTATTTTTGAAGACATTTAGGACTTTATATTCATAGAGCGGATGAAGTCCAAATAAAGATTAAAAAGCCTCAGCTAAATATGCATATATATGTGCAATCAAATGAGGTTTCTACTACATAAACCAGTAGCAATCAGAGATTGGTTTCATAGGAAAAGTTTAAATTTTCTTGTTCACTGAAACATGGTTCATTTCTTAGTGCAGTTTACATTCACAGATTAAAATTGAAGGACTGTAATATTAAGACAATAGCTTTGGGTCTCCAGCTGGTAAATTACTTGGAACTTGAGTTACACAGTTGAACAATTGCCAGATACCTGACTACTTAGTCTATTTTTCTTATAAAGAAGAATTTGCAGTTCATTGAACTTGTCTATTTAAGGATCTTTTGTATCACAAAACAGTGTATCACAAAATCTGAGAAAAAAATATATATTAAATACATTTTCATATAATCATATATCTGAATAAGGTTTCTTTAAATTTAAGCCCCATATCAAAAATATTTTGAAAGAGAAAAATTAAAAAGGCACTTCAGGAAATTCAGAAATTGGAAAAAAAAAAAAAAAAAAAAAAAAAAAAGTTGCTGTCAGTTTTGAAAGCATTTCAGGCATTGATCTTACCACAGCAGAAGAAAATACAATCAACAAGTACTCTAAGGGGTCTTTCATAGATGTTCCTCTTGCTAATAAAGAATCGTTTCCAATGACTCTTGCAATAATGCCTTACCAGTCATAATCTAAAGTAAGGCATTACTAATATAATAGGATAGTTTAATTTCTGTTCCCTATGTCTAGATACTATTCCAATGTCCTAAAGTGTACTAAATAAGAGAAGTTATAATTTCTAGCTACCTGAGATAAAAGGATTTTTTATGGATTTATTAATAGGAAAATTCATAGGGAATGCTTAAACATATAGTGCTTATGCAAAAACAAAACAGAGTTAAGAACAGTTACTGTACTGAAAATAAAATGACGATACCAAGCATCTCCTATGCTAAGGTCCAAAGTGACCTCACAACACCCTTAAAACATACAACAGATATTTCTAAAGTTCAGATCCACAAAGGATAACCTACTTTACCCTCTGAAACAAACAGATAATGCAAACAGCTGAAAACTTTTGACCTCTGTTGTCCTCTACACTAGGGATTAAAGGATAATAATCTGAGTTGTTTATAGTTGTCCATAGTATCAATTTTAAGTAAGAAAATAAGAATTTTCAAGGTTGTTATGACTCCTTTACCAGTTCCTCTCCGATTCACACTGTTCTTTGAATAGGTACGTGGTGTTTTTCTACAAAACTTGAAGATTACTCTGTTAATTAGGACAAAAAGGGAAGCTGCACAAGCAGCACAAAGAGTAACACAAATGTCTCACTATTGCTGACTAATTTTCAATTTGATACAAACTAACAAAACAGCATTTTTTCCCTGAGAATCAATCCAAAAAGCAGCCTCTTCACTCCTTGTAAATTAGCCCTGCAGTCTTATTTCTGCAACAAACTACCCTATTCACAGTCTATTCTTTGTTTTGTATTGTCTTGACAAGCCAAGATACAAGAGCTGAGTGTAAGGTTCTGGACTACATTATTACAGATGAGTTGTCTCCAAAGACATAACACAGCAGTATCAATCTGATTTCCAATGCACTCTTCAGCTTTCTGACATACAAGTTACTCAATAACAAACAGTGAGACAAACATGTAAAACTCATTAATCTCTTCAGACATACAAACTGATAGCCTCCAGTTAGTATAAAAGTGCAGCCAAAATAACATTCAATGAGTGCCCTGCAAAGACATACTGGTTTCATTCACAATGGAAATTTGCATATTAAATTTGTTTCCAATTCCAGTGTTCAAGAATTGATAAAATACTGTATTAAGGTTATTCCTAGGCCAGAGAAATGCTCTGAAGATAATCTGATGATGCCATTATGAAGTCAGTCCATTCCTTGGCCAGCTCTTCAATGGAGACTTCCTCCCCCCCATATTCCTGTGGGAGAATGCTGATGGGGAAGTGTTCGGTCAGACTCTGCAAGTAGTTATTTCCGTGCATGTACACCTAAACCAAAATATTAAAAGCATTTACTTGGGTATGAACGCTAGACTATTGAGTGAGAACAGGCAGCAAAGCATCTCAGTGCAAGAGCTGAACCTACCAGTTTGGTTTAACTAAATAAATGTATTTGTTCATAATTAATTCCTTAAATGGAGGAACTACGCTTGTGAGTTTACCCTAGGTACTCAAACTCTGTCCTCCTCTGAATATGAAGGCTGGTGAAGGATGGACTACAACCTGAGAACTGCATTTTATGTAGCTGTGAGCACAGGACCAAAACTATCTATACACTTGTTCCAGACTGGTTTAGCAACACTGGTGAGAGTAGACACTACATCCAAAATGCTAAACTTAACTAAACCATGGGAATACTGGTGATTTGTTTTGTCATGATATCTTGTACTTGCCCTTCAGTCATTTCCAAGAAAAGAGCCGTGTCTGGCTCATGGCCATTACTATCTGGTCCTGCCACATGTGTTTAAAAACAAGATTATGTAGTATGTATGTAGGTTCAGACAGGTGTCAAGGAAGATACTCAACAGAATCTATACATCAGTCCTTATCTTTCAGCTCCAACTGAAATTGGATTCTGGACTACTTCCCCACTTCAACCCTCTCAATACTGTAGGTTTGGTTCTTCTCTTGCTTTATTGTAGCTATTTTGAAACCTTGTTCATTACTTCCAGTCTGATACTTTTCTAGGATTGACTGTCCTGGCATGCAGTGGCTATTGCAAATGCCCAAGATCCATGTGCTGAGAAAAGGAGGCTTCAGAACTGGAATAACAATACAGGGCTGCTTATTTTGTACCTTAGTCCTGCTGTTACCACTTCACTTTTGTGCCAGCTGAAAACTCCAATATTTTTCCTGTGCTGCGACAAACCATAGTCCTTGGCATGCTTTCGCATCCAAATACAAATCTATTTGCAGATCTCTAACTGCAAAACTATTTAAAGCAACTAAGGAGCTATTTGGAAAAAGAAAACTTAGAAATTAAGTCTGATCAATTTTTGATGCATAAATGCCTCTGGAGATCTGTCAGAGCTAAACGGTTGTCTTCTACTAATGCTGCACAGCTTGGACTATAAAACACTGCTCAGTGATAATTTTTCTCTCTAATTTACAGGCAGAGCACTGGGAAATGCAGGACCTATTTCTAATTCTGCAGAATTGTTATGTGACCTCAAGCAAATTATTTAACCTCTTTGTGTTACTGTTTTTTCTCTTCAGAGGAGTGATAACAGCACCACTTGCTACTCTCATGTTAATAATAACTGCAAATGCTTTACTGTTAGATTCTGGAGGTCTGTATGGCACTAACCAACAAAAATTATTTATGCTTTTCAGTACTCAGGAGGAACAGAGCCTAAGGAAAGTGCTGCAGATTGTCATACAAGGGTTTTGTGGCAGAAAGAAATATTTGTGTGCACTCACCCGTTGCTTTATTTTTTCAGTGAGAAAAGGCTTAATTAGAGCGAAGACTGGGTGGAAGAATAAAGGCTCATTAATCAAGTGGATACCTCGAACTTTCAGTGGAAAGGAATCCTGTCAGCATACATGGAAAACAGAAGAAAAAGAAAACATTATTGAAACACCTCTATTACTAAGCACAGGCCTGTAAAAACTGTCTAGTCCGTAGGTTAAAGTATTTCTTCTGACCTTGCCAATTCCTGCATTTTCTAGCAGTGTAAATTAAGAACAACATTTAGAAAAATCATATCTTGTGCCTCCCATTAGAGGAAAAAGATCTCATAATATTTTCACCTCAGTAGGAGGTGAGATTGAATATTAAAAACAAACAGAAAAACAAAAAAGAAAACTATCACCAAATTGCACATAAAAATTGTACACAAACTTTGTGCTCAGCCTTTCTTCTAATGTGCAATTTTTCACAAGATTCTGCTACTAATTTACAAAATGCTATCTAGATATGTGCTTTTATTGGCAATTTACAGCCATAAATATATATAAACTATTGAAAATACTAACTTTAAGTTAAGTAAGTTTTATTTATAATTTAGTGGTAAGCCTTGAAATTACTAGGAATTTGGCCAAGACAGAAGTTCAGCTTTACAACAAGATTACTGTTTTAATGAAAATTTTAAAATATCTGCTATACAGCCTTTATAATATAAAACAGCTTGGATTTTACTTGCATTCATTTAAAAGTTCCAGATCTTTGAAATTTAAAAGAAAATATGGCAGTGCTCAAAACAAGCTTTGTGCAATGGGGAAAGTACAGCTTCCCTTCATATCCCACCTGATACTACCTCTGAGAGGTTTCCTGCTTATAAAAATGGCAGTTCTCACAAACATATCTCCTCACTAGTTCAATAGTTCTAAGGAAGAAAAAACCCAAAGCTAAAACATTTCTTTAGTGCCACGCCTGGATTTTAATGTATGATAAAGACCTTAAAATTATCAGCTTGTATGTTCACTTAATGTTATTATGGGTTACCATATACTTAAAGTCTGCTATCATTTTCACAAAACAATTTTCTGCCTGGGATAACAGATTTTTCAAGATAATGTCACTTATTATCCATACTATGCTTTCCATTCCTTAGTACATATTTCCTTTCTATTAACTTCTGTTTCTTGATACAGGATAGTAATTTGCAAGACACATTTCCTGAGTTAAGTACAGGGTTAAAAGTAAGGTTTTACTTATAAGCATATTCTGGAGCGCTTTAAGCATGTCCTGGGGTGCATCAGGCACAGCATCTCCAGCTGGGCAAAGGAGGGCATTGTCCTGCTCTCCTCTGCACTGGGGCAGTCTCACCTTGAACACTGTGTGCAGTTTTGGGCACCAAAATATGAAAGACATTAAGCTATTAGAGAGCTTCAAATGAGGGTCAGGAGGATGGTGAAGAGCCTGGAGGGGAAGTTGTGTGACGAGTGGCTGAGGCCACTTGGTCTGTTCAGCCTGGAGAAGAGGAGACTGAGGAGAAACCTCATCACAGTCTGCAATTTCCTTGTGAGGGGAAGAGGAAGGGAAGATTTCTTCACTCTCCTGACCAGAGACAGGACCTAAGGGAATGGCTTGAAGTTGTGTCAGAGGAGGCTTATACTGGATATGAGGAAAAAGTTCTTAACCCGGAGGGTGGTTGAGCACTGGAACAGGTTCCCCAGGGAAGTGGTCACAGCTCCAAGCCTGACAAGAGTTCAAGAAGTGTTTGGACAATGCTCTCAGCCACATGGTATGTCTCTTGGGGTGTCCTGCATAGGGTCAGGAGTTGATCTTGATGATTCTGATGAGTACCTTCCAACTTAATATATTCTATGATTATATAATATTGAACAACACTAATATAATCTTTGGATAAAATTTACAGACCCAGTTAAAAGTGAGGAAAGGAATCAGGGGACAAAAAAAAAATTAAAATTCTTTTTCTTCTTAGAAAAGAACACTCAAAACACACAATTTTTAATTTTGCTTTTCCATAGCTAGAATAAGCATTTAGAAGTTTGAAAAAATCAGAAATAGGTCAAGATGGAAACAAAGTCAAAGAATTTCCTGCTTTGAGATAATGGATTGAAACCTTTAGATGTTCTTGCAAATCCTATTCTGCCTCCTTTCTGCTCTATTTCAAGGTTAAAAAAATTACCAGCAATATGTCTACTACCTTAGAAATCAACTGAAACACTCTCACTAGTCCTGTTTCCATGAGATCTGACCCAAGACTGCATAACACCAGGAGTTCTTATTCTAGATGTACAAAGTTGGGAATACCTAATGGTTTCAATAAAGTTTTATAGTAGATATCAGAAAGGAAGGACATCTGAAGTTCTGATGATATTAATTCAATGACTAAGCTTTGATTGAATCTCAGATATGAACCTTAGCAAATCAGAGCAAGAGATTATCTCCCTGGCTCATTTCCACATCACAGGCTAACAGTTTTATTATTACTGACTTTCAACATAACTTCTGAAGGAAAATAAGATTATAGGACTGCACTGTAGCTTGGCTGTCAATTCTCTGTCCCCTTTTTTCTTTAATTTTTTTTTCTCTCAAATCCAGTGGCAAAGTTAAACTGAATTTGGCAGAAATGAATAAGCCTCAAAGACAGTAAAGTCCTGAGATTTTATGAAAAACAGGAGGAGAGGTAACAATGATTTGCACCAAACAATGCTCATGTTGTGGGGAAGAAAGCAAGCAGAACATAAACGTTATACATTTTGTTGTTAGCAGATGGAAGATCACATAAGCATCATCCATACTGGTAACAAGTTAAGAGTGTCTTGCTCTTAATTGCTTACAGTGCATACTATTTTTAATATTCTCTGAGACAGGAATAAATGCTTTAAATATGAGATAATACACAAAATAATGGAAGAGAAGATATGAAACAGGATAAAAAACAGAGATCCTTTGAAAACTGGGCTTCATCTGCTCCTCCACTCATGATGTACTTGTGTTGTAAGAGGTTGGTGGAGTTCTTATAAAATAGCAGAAGCTAGAGGGCATTTACTGGTGTAGAAGAATAAAATTTAGGTAAAATCAAGCACAACTTGTTATTGATTTAGGATTTTGTTCTTCTAAGTTGCATAGTCTGAGAATGCCTACAGAAGAAAAATTTACTATAGCTTGGAAGAGATGAAAAATTTGAAGTCATAGCAATGAAGCTGCATAAAGCATTATGTCATACTTACTGTGAGAACAGCAGCAATTTTCTTGGCCACTGCTGGACTGATTTGAAAAGCATGAGCAAATCTCCACCCCTGAAGGTCAAAGATGGCCTTGACTCCATTTCGCTGAGTCTCGATCTCCTTTACAATGAGTTCAGATGTGATGAGACTTACACGGAACACATCATATGCTGTAAATAAACTGGGATCCCATTGTCCTGAAGAGAAGATAGATTACTCTGCATTACCATGAGAAAACCCCATACACCTGCACTTTTTATTCCTATGGCTTCTAATGTGCTTCTCAGGAAGAAGAATTAATCAGCAAGAACAAAGTTCCTGAAATAAACTGTTTTGCCAGTGCATAGGTTAATTTGTGTGCCTGCTCTCTCATTCATCTTTGATGCTCTTTTAGTAGATAGTACCATGCACGTTCTAACTACAGCCACAGACCCAGTACAAGGTACAATTCAGTAACACTCATGCTAGCAGAAGCTGCAGATCATCAGTCCAATCAATTAATATAATTGCTTTTCAGCATCATAATTTTCTGGCACAACTCAGTGAATCTCACTTATTTTTTTTCTGAGGCCTGAGAAAAAAAATTGCATGGGATGAGCCTTAACCCTAAATGAAAGCTTTAGAGGGCACTACCGCTTACTAGACCTACAGATTATAATAACACAGTTCTTTGAAAGTTGACAAAAATAAAGCTTTAGTCCAAAACAAGCATAAAGAGATATAACAGAAAACAAGCATGAAGAGATTTAACTATGTACTTTTTGAAAATATTTTTGGGAGATGCATCAAGCATTTTCTAAGTGTTGTTTGCTAGGACTCTTTGGCTACAAGTAAACAATGAAAGCCTGGTGAACTGCTCATCCCAGCCTAAACTGAATGTTGATATATGACAAGGTGTACACCTTTGTTTGTGTTCTCCCTACTCTGTGCTGCATCTGCATCAGTACCACAGTCTTAGCCCAAATGACTTTGACAATTTACATAAAGTCAAATGATTTTTGGGATACTCAGAGCCAAAAAAACCCTACATAATCTTACAAGTTTTAACCTTCAATATTCTTTTGATGCAATAAGAATTTCACTAAAAAGAAAATTAGGTTATTCCTAAGGGATTGTACAGCTTTATCTATACCAATATATAAGTAAAATTATTTAACTCTTATAGCTCAGTAAGTTCACCTTTATATTAATGTAAATGCATTTCTAGCAAGGAACATAAATATATTAAATTTCTAGTTAAGATGTTCTGATATGATCTAGTTTTATCAACCCCTGCAGTTATATCCATAAAATATTTTTGGTTTGCACCTGAAATGGTGATAATTAAAATAATAAACAAACCACAATAAAAAACCAAACCAAACAAACAAACAAAAGCAAAAAACAAAGCAAACAAAAATCCCCTAAAAACGTCAGTGTCAGAATCAGGTGTAAAACCGTTCCAAGCAATTTTGTCACTCACCAATTCTGTATATTAGAACTTTGCTTCCATGTGGGTCTCTTGACCTTAGGACTCCGTGATAGCCAGCTTGCAAAAGACCAAGAACAGAAGATGGTTGTAAATCTGCACTTATTTCTGGGCATTCGATTCTCCACTTCTGATAATTCTTCAATAACTGGAAAAAGAAAATAATGTGGATGTCAGGTAAGCATCAGCTATTATAGGAAGAGCACAGTTAAAAATGTGTTTTCCAAATGTGGTCACAGCCAGGTTTAATTCATTAAATTAGCTATAATTGAATTGTATATTTTAATCAAATCACCCCTAGAAACAGAAGGTTGCTATACTGGATCAAGTAAATGAGTAAATTGCCATGATGAATTTAGAACCCAGTCAAATCATTAATGGACCAAAGTTATCATTTTGTATCAGAAAGAAAAGTGAATATACAATAAGCCTGTTGTTTCTACGTAAAATGCAACAAAACCCCATTTTTTTTCTGCTCAGGTTACCTTTAGGATTGTTCATTTTGCTACTTCATGAGACTCATTCAGGATTTTTTTTCATTTAGACGTGCAAAATTTTATGGAGGAACATTCTCCTTCACTCACTCACTCACTCTCTCCCTTCCTCCCTATTTTTTACACAGTCATCAATAATTCCAATTTACTATTTGAAACAGGTATGCTCATCAGCATACCCAAAAACATTTTTGAGGTCTCTTCTACCCCTCTGAAATGAGAGAATACAACACAGTAGTGGGTCCATTACACATTTGACAATTTCCCTCCCACAGAGTGGAAATAATGACAACCTGTCTGGTTAAATAAAGCAGAGATCCCATCTGCTGTCAGGGACTTGGTCAGCCTGATTCTCAAGGCTGGGAGGCAGCACCACAGCCAGCATTTCTAAGGCACAGGAGGAGCTGTGTGTTGAAAGGCCATGGACTAATGCTAAGGAAGAGGCAATTAAAGGTGTTCCTTTGTGAGGTAACATCTGTGTTGAGGAATTACAGGCAGCACTGTGAAAGGTCATCTTAGAGACAGATTGTGAAAAATTAAGTTGGTGATGCAGTAGTTCTAACTCCAAGTCTAATTACTGTGTCTCCTTTAATATTAAGTGGTTGTGGGGAAAATGAACTATGCCCTGAAATTAAAATTTATTTAAGACATTGTGCATAAGTAGGAAGCTATGCAAGACTGTCTTCTAAAATGCTTCCTCTCTGCTCATTAACTAAAATTTGCCTCTGCTGTATCACCTCTGCTAAGATTATCACTAAGTTTGGAAAGTAGAGAGATAGCTATTACAAGTAATTAATATTTTGTTTTAATTTCCTCAATGGCTATGACTTAGAGGTCTAACCCAAGACCTTCAAAGTAGCTAAGAGAACCAGACTTTTCAGTATCTTGTTTCACAGCAAACCAAAATGTAGCTTTAAATCTTAAAGGTGGTATGCACAGCCTAGCTTTCAAAAGCTAGGCTTATATTGTTTCTACATTTCATCAAACAGGAAAACCCAAGCTGATCCTTAGCACAGGATCCTTAATTCACAAATTAAATGTGTTCACTGCACTGAAAGCATCAACCGAAAGTCTTTTATTTCCTTTAATTTGTATTAACAGAAATTATATTTCTATATTTCATCAAACAGGAAAACCCAGGCTGATCCTTAGCACAGTTTCACAAATTAAATGTGTTCACTGCACTGAAAGCATCAACCGAAAGTCTTTTATTTCCTTTAATTTGTATTAACAGAAATTATTTTTTTCCTTTATTAATTACTCTATATTTTGTAACAGAAGTACTAAAGTTAAAAGAGCTGTCAGGTCCAACTAATAGAACATAACTGTAAAAAAATTTAAATTTCTTGTATCTATGTAAGTATCATTTTCTTCAGTATTTTTATTGGAAGAATGATCAGAAGGAACTTCAGTAAAACTGAATTCATCCTTACAGACTCTTAGAGGGAGACCTGGAACTCAGCATCCTGTAGCTCACAGCATGCTCATGTCAGATAATTAGTCTTATCTCCTACTCTTCCCTCTACTTTTAAGCTTCTTGTATCATTTTACATAAAACACACCTTTTCTTCAGCTTAATGTTTTTCTGCTCAGATTAAGGTTGAATGATTTTGAAGGTCTCTCAAAGGAATTGCCATGAGGAAACTATTTATAAAACATTATTGTTTATCATCAAAATTTGCATAAAAATACATGGTACACTGATTAGAAATTAGCTATATTTTTTAAGGAAATAGATCCTATAAATACATATATAGATCAAAAAAAAAAAAAATTATATACCATGCTAGATTCCCACTTGATTTGGCAGCGGAAAAAAAAAAAAAACAACAGATAAAAGCCTCATCCTAAACCATCACCATAGAAAGAAACATTTCACCATTAGGAGAATTTTATTAGAAGTCTCTTGACTGCATTCAATCAGATTTAGCCTAGGTTAGTTTTAAAACTAACAAACAAACCTGGTGAAGGAAAGAGGGAAGACGAAGGGAAAGTAAGTTAATTTGTGGAACAGAAGTCCACTACAATTGCAAAAATAGGTCTGTTGAGGTACTCTGATTATCTCACTCTGTCAGTACTTGACTGTCTAACAAAGGGCACTGTTTGAGCAATCCCAAGTGCTTTGTGCCAGACAGCAATGTCAACATGTTTTTTCCTTGGTCTTTCCAAAACAAACTCTGAAATAGCAGCAAAATACAAAACCACCCTGAAAAAAACTATGCAAACATTTGTCGCTTTGTAATTTGTCACTTTTCTTCTAAAATCTGTGGTACAACGACATCATGAAGATATATATTTTAAACACCTCTTTGAAGATCTCCCTGCCAAAACTAGGATGAGAATAAAAATGACACATTAATTCAATACCCTAAATAATCCTGTCTAGTCAATACAGATAGTTTCTCATTTTCATGATATTTGCATTTTCCAGGTTGCAAAAAAAGGATTTAAGTTCTTGAACTTTGGAATAAAGAGAGTGGTGTTTTCAGCTTGTGATGCACTCAAGATCCTTACAGAAGGCATAGTTAACCTACCTGCACACCCATTAAGGAGTAAATATATGGTTGGAATACTTCTGACACTTTCCATGACACAAGTAAGTGGTGCACCTTTCAGACACGTAACTTGGCTAAGCCTAAAACATACTTCCCTTGGCAAGAAAATCACAAAGTGCTGAAGAGTTCTCAGATTTTAAACACCTAATCTAATTACCTAAAATTATTTAGATCTGAAATAAAGGTCAGCATTACAGAACCTTCCACAGAATCTACAGCTGGTTTTGGCAGATATTCTGTAAATTTTTATTTATGTAAGCAACCCCTTTCTTACAGCTGGACATAGTCAAGTCTCACATGGCCACTTAAAAGAGTAATCCTTAAACACAGAAAGAAATTCAAACACTAGCAGTGGTTTAGAGGTTTTCTAGTTTAAAACTGTTTAAGCACAGAAATTGATGTAAAATTTTTTTCAAATAAGATTCTTTTTCAGCAGGATAAAACATAAATGTTGCATATAACAATCAGTTTGGATATAGACGAAACAACCTAATCTCAGGAAAAAGGGACACATTCATTACCCAGCATAAAAAATGGCTCACACACTTAATGACACAAGAAAAACATCTCAGTGTATAATTATCTGTGTTTACAAATGGAATAACCTACTTAGCATCTGCTCAGCATCTGAAAATAGATGCAAGATAACTTGATAAATAGGGGGAAAAACTGGATGAAAAACTCCAGTGTCTGTAGTTCAGCATTAATTAAGAGGGTTTTTTCCCTGATGTCTGTTGGGGATAGTTCCAGATTTCTGAACATTAGAGATTACAAAGTTACCAATTAAACCAAGATTCCGGTCCTACAAACCAAAGTGAACTTAGTACTTTACTTAGAAGAAAAAGAACTAAAAAACATTGTGCTTGTTAGAGAAACTAATGTGTATGTAAATTAATTATATTTTTCTTGATTAACAACTATTTAGTTATATTAACGTGGATGATAGGCAGAATTAGGCCTCTGTTGTGTCAGAAGTCATACCAGTGTACACAATGCTTGGGAAAAAAAGTATTTTCTACTGGCATTCTTTGCAGGAGAAACCACAGCTCAAATTTCAGAATATAAACCTTTGTGTGCATATGCATTTTATACTTCTTTTTATATATGCATGTACAAATCTACCCAGAATTTAAACATACGACTGTATGTTTAAATTTATACTACTCAGACAAAGAACTAAAAATATTTTATAGAGATACAGAACTTTCCTAATTCTTCATGCATTACTTCCTTGTCACTGGAAAAAGACTGGCACGTGCTGGCTTAGCACAAAGAGAAGCCTGGCTGACTGATTTGTTTCCTCCAGAGTCAGCTCAGAGAGCTAATTAGGGCTCTTCCATCCTTTTTAAGGAATTCCTCGGTATTGATGGAAGAAAAGCCGCCAAGTGACTGATTTTAACTTAGCATTTATGTTTGAATGATGTGAAGATCCTCAGAGATAATGTCTGAGATTCAGCGGTGTGTTTGACACTACAGAAAACAACACTGCTTGTACAGCACAGTCATCCTAGGTGACTTCCTTGCAGCAGAACACACTAGGAAATCCTCATTCCTCTGTAAGTCGAATGAAAAACAAAAGTCTGGCTATATACCTTGGTATCAACCAGAACTCCTCAAAGGATCCTAGATATTTAGAGAGTTTTCAGTGCCACAAAGTGATGCTTATATATTTATGTTATGAAAACCCTTTGCATAGAGTTTCAATGCCAAACATTTTTCTTCTGTTCCCCAGAATATAATCTATTTCAGGTACAAAAAGACAGCATTCCAAAGTCACTGAGTCTCAGTCCTATACAAGAGTTATAGGATGTGATGCATAATAAAACAGGAAGAAACATTCACGTCCAAAAGGAGATGCTTGTTGTCCAGATTTCACATATCACTAGTGAATCCAAGTGACTGTTTTCAGTGATAACAGCGAAGTCAAACATACACACATAGCTGGTACACTCAAAAAGGGGCAGACACTGATCTCTGTGGTGACCAGTGACAAAACATGAGGAAATGGCCTGAAGTTGTGTCCTGACAGGGTGCCTGTGCAGGGCCCAGACCTGAACTTGAATGATTCCTGTGGGTACCTTCCAACTCAATGTATTCTGTGATTCTGTGAGAATAGTCTGTTACTGAGCTTAACTGAATGATCACTCTTCAGGAAATTAAGGCAGTTTTATCTCTTCTTCAAGTCCTTCAATTCCAGATACCTGTTTCAGTGCTGGATTTTCTTCTAGCATGAGAGATATCAATATATCATTAAAAGCAAGTCTGGAATTGCCACTGGAAAAATGGAAAAAATTGCTGTTATGAGTCACCATAAAGGATTTAGAAATGGAATGTCTTGACACAATCTACCTGATCATTCTTTTCTGAAGCATTTCCAAATGTTGGTAACTGACATCAGATAAATGTGTGTCAATTATTAACCAGAAATGCATCAATAAAATGGTCTGATCAGGTGCCAGACTCTTGATTCATAGTTAAGGCTAAGTATAAGCCCATACTAAGATGCTGGACAACCGTTGCTTATATGCACTGACAGGGCCATTAACTTTGATTATCCCTTAGCTGCTCTACAAATACTATGCAGTAGTACATGGAAGCCCAGTGGGCCTGAACTCAAGAGAGGCAACATCAAATCAGGACAAGAGGGAAGAGCCACTCTCTGGACTGATGGCAGGAGGGCTCTGTCTAGGATGAAGTACTAACATAACTTCTGCGTGTAGTCACACTTGGGTTAGATGAATGTACAACTTAGGACCACTAGAGATTTTTGCCCAATAATTCTCTTTGGCCTTAATACACCAATTGCAATAAGCACATTCCTGTGGTGGGGGGCAAGTGCTTCTGTTATTCTTCCATTACTGTAAGAGAAGTGTTCTAGAAAATGGTGTCAGCTGGTATATAGAAGATTAAGTGCAAGTGGCTACAGCACTTGGAGAACTGAAATTCTAAACAGAAACATTAAACACAGGTTGGTTTTGAACATTAGAATTTCTTAATTCAAAGGCAGGTTTGAAATTCAGAAACTTAGCAGCCTGTGGAGACCCAGAAAATCTAAAGAGGTTTTAAAAAGACAACTTTTTCAAAGGAGGTCCCCAGTGTTGATGGCTGATTCTCAAAAGAAGCATAGGAAATTTGCTACTTCATAGACTCCCATCTCTAAACCTAGTCTAGATTCCACACTCCCAAAGATTAGTCCCACCGACCTAACACATTCACATCCCATCAAAGTGCAAAAACATACAGGCCAAATTCAGAGGAGCCACCATCCTGTCTGTAGGATTACCAGTAACAACCAATTACAATGCAATTCAGGAATCCCTATGTCCTCATTAAGCCCTTTAAGCATTTGGGAACCAAGAAATACAGGAAAATAAAATGGATTTTGTTTGGAAAGAAAAAAAAAAGGCATGGTCCTACAATGGTTAGTGTACAGCTTTGATATAAACAATCTCATGAACTTCAAGATACATAAAACCCAAAGGAATCTGACTTGACTCGTTGGTTCTTCTATTAAGGAGGAAAGGTTTAAAGCCATGATGCAAATGTAATGAGTCAAATGAAAAGAACAAAATATAAATTTTAAAGCTACTTATGATTAAGGGCTTAATTCAATTTCTCAATTTCCTTTTTTAGCTACCTTGATCCTGCAGTACATCCATATGCAAACAATGATCTCTTATGGTGAGTAAACTTGGAAAATCTACAGTCCAGAGAAGTCAGAAACTAATAGGTGAAGTCTGTTGGGCAATGCAGTGTAAACAACACAAAATTCCATGGAAACACAGCTTTCAGTTGGCACATGTGAATCAATGCTTTTGCCCTGGGAGGATTTGGAAATACTTTCTGTTCCAAAGGTTTAATGGCTGTCAATCTTTCATTTAAAAAAATAACAAACTCATAACAATCTGTGCCTTTGGATATTGAAAATATGTGTGCTCTGTGGCAAAAAGGCATACAAAGAGCTGGGGAAAAAAAGAGCCTGCAAGGAGTGATGTAAAAGACTAAACTCCGAGTAAAAAGAAGGGTTTACTCATGGTTTTAGAGTAATTATAAGTCTGTAGTGAAACTAGTACGCCTGCTAGTAACCTGAGCCTGATAATCATGACAGGGGTGTCCTTTGAAGGATACTGTTTCCCAATCGGAGCTGTGACCTTACCGCTCTTACTGTACGGGCGAGTGACTGTACGGCGCTTACCACAGCCTCGGTGTTACCCCACGGACACGGCGCCGAGCCAGCCGCCACGCCGCGCACTGCTGCGGTGCCGCGCCGAAGACACGCGTGACGAGCAAACACCCACACCCCGAAACCCCGCTCGGCCTCGCCCGACCCGGGCAGCGCAGGGCACGGACCCACCCCACAGCCCGTCCCGCAGCCGCAGCCCGAGCCCTGCTGCGCTCCCCAGGCACCGGGACCTGCCGCCGCCGCTCCTCACCCTCCAGGCCAGCTCCAGGTGGAAGTCTCGGGCGCGCAGGAACCGCACCAGGAAGGCATCGGAGAGGGGCTGCGGCCAGCGCTGGCCGGGCTCTGCCTCCGCCAGCCGCCGCAGCTCGGACACGGCGCCGCGCACCCGCGGAGAGTGGTCGGGCAGGTCATTGAGGAGCTCCGCGCCCGGCGGAGCCTGCGACATCCCCGCACACGGCCGAGCTCAGCGCCGGCCCCGGCCCATTGAGAGGAGCCGCGGCGGCGGGGCCCGGGCGGGCTGCCCCCGCCCCCGCGGGCCTTAACCCCTGAGCGCCCTCCCGGGCCTCAGGCGAGGGAGCGGGCAGGTGTGCACCGTTCTGCCTCTCCTGGGCTTGTTTTTTTCCACTTTTGCGGACTTGACAGGTTTTTAGAATTTTAACGCTTTAAGCCCATCTCCTGTTTGTCTCTTCCAGCCCCAAAAGTGAGCCGTACCTGCTCCCTCTGGAGGGGAGGCCCCCGCCGCTGCTACCCGCGGTGCCCACCGCAGGAGGGTCACCCGGGACCCCCGGAACGCGCCAAGGGTCGTGGCCTCCCCTTTTGGCGAAAATAATCCATCTTTAGATACTAAATCGCAAAACGCTGCAACTTCATTGCAGCTGGGAAATGAAATGCAAAGTGGGGAGCCCTGCTGGTGCAAAACGGCCTTGGAGCGCCTCATCCTTAACGTGGATATGCAGTAATGAAAATATATTCACTCTGCCAGGAGAAAGGTTGAATTCACTTTCACCACCCATAGTCCAACTTTGCTGCACAGCAGTGAGTTCGATTATGAAAAGTAAAGAGTGCATTGCTGTTATTTTATTTTGCATTTTTAGTATAACCTTTTCCTTTGAGATCTCTCTGGCCTACTTACGCTAAAAGCCTTATTTCATTTAATATACAATTACTAAGGCATGCTTAGGCCTAGTAAAAGGTTTACAAAACTTTGTTCCATATTACTTTCCCCTTTCCTGGCTTTCTACAGTTAATACTTACTTTTTGATCATCATTTTTCCATATCTGACCATGTTGGACTCTTATACACTACTGAAATGTCTACAGGTATCTCCCTCAGCTTTCCAAATATGAAAAAACATCTGCCTAGGTAAAAGCAGATAGGTAAAGAGTCAGAGGAGGGTTTGGGAATACAAGCTTGCAGGGACAAAGTATTGGAGGAAAGGATGAAAACTGGGAAATGGGTGTGCAGTCAAGAGTACTTAGATGTGGCTATCAGGGCAAGGAGGTGTAAGGAAGTGTGGGCTTACCCTGGAACAAGAAGAAAAAGCAAGCTGGAAATACAGCAAGAAAGAGAGAGAACAGAATATGAAAGACATGCTAACAATAGGTTTTTAAAAACCACTCCTTTTGTTTCTGGGCAGAGCTTCCATGGGAAAGATTTGCATACAAATGTGTAACCCAACCATGGGTGGTAGGAGACAAACAAAGCTAAACCACAGAAAGTTCATACAGTGATTTTAAACACCACTTCATAATTTTTGCCATTTTTTTTTTTTTTTTTTTTTTTTTTTGCCATCTCAGAATTCTCCTAACTTAGTGCTTCAACTGTGAAAACAAAAAGGGCAAGAGAATACAGATACTTTTTATCAGACGAATCACCTGAGCAACTCATAGCTTCTAACTCTTTTCTACAAAATTCATATTATGATTTAGGCTTCATAGATGAACAAAGTTAGTTATACAAGCAGTTTCAGTGATTTCCCTCAGGACTGAGTTACAAAAATATCTGTAAATTTGAGGATTTTGTTAAAAATTCTGCAAATGAGGCCGTATTTGTAAGACTAATGAGAACTCTCTCTGACAATGAAGATGTGATATCATCAAGGCTTCCTTCAGAGGTGCCAACATGTTGTATACTTGACCCTTCACCAGAGCAATTAAGATCTGTTGCAAGATGAAGCTTGTAAGTTTTTGTTTTGTTTAATTACATCTGGAAAAGAGCTCAGGTGTCTGATAGCTCTGTCTAAATAAATTATGCCTGTTGGTAAACTTTGCCTTGTTTGTGTCCTTGGACCAGGATGATTACTCTTATAAAAAAAGACCTGAAAATGTGACAGCAGCTCTTTGATGTTTCCTTTTGGCATATTACTGTGACAAACAGACTTTTAATGGATAGCTGGAATTTGCAGTCCTGCAAGAGAATATTTACATCTGAGTAAAATCCAGAAAATACTTTAACAGGTCTGTGACAAATGTTCAAGAGGTGTGGAGGCAACTATCTTAGATTGACTGTAAAATACACATGCACTTGTGCTTCTTTCTTTTACAAGATTCTATAAAAACTGTAAAAGGTTTTTGAGTTTCAATTCTACAGTAGTAGTTTTGTGTTTTTTCTGTGAATTATATGGATAAATACAAAGACCTTGTCTTTCATGCACATGCACTTAACATTAATATACAAGTTTCATTAGGATCAAGATTAAGAGTTTAACTTGCATAAATGCTGAATACTTAATTCCAGACACTGATGTTTGCAGGAGGTTAGCATCTCTATAAATTAAGTTCTAGTTAACTTGCTCAAACTTGTGCAGAGAACATGGAACACCATGGAATGTTTAATTTTCAGGTCTGATTTTTCTATTAAGAATTCACATATTTGAAACACATATATGCAGACTTGTGAGTCAGGAAATCAAAATAAATATTAGGAGAGTTGATTTATGGTGCCAAACAGATTGCTCTTTCCTCTTGCCTATCTAGTCAAAGAAGTGCACACCAGCTAAAGCAAAGTAACCCTACACTCCCAATAGAATACAAGTATTAATTCTTCAAGATTATCACATATTCCAGGGTGAACAGGCATTTGGTATGAATTGCAATAATATTTATTAACTAGAGAGACATGACATTCCGTGCACATGAAAAAAAAATATTGCCTATCACTCTGGTATTTATTATGTACAGGTAAAAAAATCCAAAATCCCTCCAAACCAATAGTCCTGTACAAGCAAGCTCCTGAAGAAATGCAAATTTCCAGCAAAATCCAGAGCAGACAGCCATATCACTTCAAGCTTGTCACAGGAGTCTGTTCATGTAAAGTACTTTGGAACTGGAATATTATTGTTAAATCTTTCAAGCTAAGCAAAATTGAATTGAGAGCTCATGACTGTATCTGAAGGGTGACCATTTTGTACAGCAAAAAGGAGTTTAAATCATTGTCACCCTTTTCTGAATCCATTCTGTAAGAATACTTCAGCATAATAGTGAAGCCTTTCACTGAAACCCTAAAGTATAGCAGGTCTGGCTGCAGTGTATACTTTCTGATTTTCTATCTGAATTTCTCCATGACCCATCCTCCTGTTTTCTGTCTACTCACTGGTGCTGATAGCATTGTTTGAAACTATGTCAAACCTTTTTCTATTGTACTGGACCAAAAGCTTATAACATACTGCGTAGTGAGCTTGGTTGGTGACTCAGCAACTTAGTAACAGCCTTTGAAAGTCTTACTCTGTAGTGTAATTCAGCAGTCTCAGCTGGTAGGTACATGGCAGAGAATTTGTCTTTCATTTTACATCACAACAGACTATTTGCAAAACCATCTTTGGTGTAAAAATAATTTTTTAAAAATGTGTAATATAAGCACAGCCCTACTCAAGCTTCTACTTAAATTAAACCTACTTTGCTCTGTAAGACACTGCAATCCTCAGTGGGTGATGAGATAATGAAAAACATTGAAGGCCAGGAACTGGCAGGGCACTCAAGGACTGACTGAGCTACGATGTCTTTGATCCTGCTGTCTTGCTGTAGCAAGAGTATGAATCATCTGTACCAAACTGCAATCAGAAGTGATGCTTATTCACTGCCAGGTTTATGGACATCCCCTCGAAGTCTGAGCATGTTCTGAAAGCAGTAAGGACTCAATAGACCCAGCCCTGTCACATGGCTTTGAGAATATGTATCACACTATATACAAGGGGAGAAAAGACTTGCGTAGGTTCCTTAAATCTCATCTCTTCCTCCTACTCTGCTATCATAATTTTCCTTTCACATACTGAATTAAAAATGGGCCTATGCTGCCTGCAATTTGTATTGTGTTAACACACAGAAAACTTTACAATGAGTCATTGACAACTTAATTCCATTTAACACCAGCTTCTCTGTTTCCAGCTGAAGGCAAATCATCTCCACTGAATTTCTTAATGTACTTTTATTAGCAGGTAAAAGCACTGTCCACTGCCTTGATGGCATAAAGCTTCACAGGCTTGGACATCAATATTTTATTTACAAAAGAGCCTAAGTGTGAGAAGCCACGTTAGAATGCTAGACTATGGATAGATTCCTGTTCTTCCTGAAATGGTACCCATCCTCTTTGCTGATCACAGGGGATCATGATGAGGTAAACCTAAGGGATTGGAAATACTACCCAGTGTGAACTAAAATTGGATTATTATGTGTCTGGAGCTGGTGGCATGTCATAGAATCAGTCTAGACTGGAAAATTTTCTGCAGGGTAGGCACCAATGTCAGCTCTTCAGTATGGCTGCTGTCACTGGGATATGTCCAAATTTTTTGCCCTTTGCAAGACAGCAAAGTTGTGGAGGTCCAGGGAACAGCTAATTTTAAATAAAGTCTGTTGATATAATTTCAGAGGAATTGTGTGGTTTTCAGGAGTGTTTTTCCAGAAGCTGTGTTGAGAAGTGACTGTCCATTGTTGGCTGTTGCAAGTGAGCAATTGACAGGTTTTAGATGATGAAGTCAATGTAGCCTAGTTTCCAGCTGACCAGTGTTTCCAGTTCCTTCAGCATCCTTGGCAGATGGTGGAGGCCTGCTGCCTTCTCTGTGCGGGTTGCTCCTGGAGCCGAGGTAAGATCCTCTGTCTGACAGGGACAGT